CTTTGGGATGACCTGTGATCTCTCGCTTGTTAGCTCCTGTTCCTCCTCTGGCAACATTTGCGCCATGTACGTCGCTATCCAGGCTGTGCTCTCCCTCTACGCCTCCGGACGTACCACTGGAGTCGTCCTCGACTCTGGAGATGGTGTCACCCACACTGTCCCCATCTATGAGGTAAGACTTCTGGGACAGTGATTTGTAAGCAGAAAAGAGAATTCTTCCCTTCAGGGTTATGCCCTTCCCCACGCCATTCTCCGTCTTGATCTTGCCGGACGTGATCTTACTGATTACTTGATGAAGATCCTCACTGAGCGTGGTTACTCGTTCACAACCACGGCCGAGCGTGAAATTGTCAGAGATATCAAGGTACGAAACTGTTGGGATGACATCATAAAGAACCAGACTAATGACTCGGGTCCCTTCAGGAGAAGCTCTGCTACGTCGCCCTCGACTTCGAACAAGAGATGGCTACCGCCGCCTCATCCTCATCTCTCGAGAAGTCCTATGAACTTCCTGACGGTCAAGTCATCACTGTCGGTAACGAGCGATTCCGTTGCCCCGAAGCCATGTTCCAGGTCACTTATTTCACTTTAGAGCTATCGGCCATGTTCCTCGTCCCGCACACTCAAAATGAATTTTTCAGCCTTCCTTCATAGGTATGGAATCTGCTGGTATCCATGAGAACTCATACAATTCAATTATGAAGTGCGATATCGATATCCGTAAGGACTTGTACGCCAACACTGTCCTCTCCGGCGGTAGCACCAATGTACCCTGGAATCGCCGATCGTATGCAGAAGGAAATGACCGCTCTTGCCCCCAGGTAAAACTATCTCATTTTTCTCAGATTCATTATACCATATTCTGTTATTTCAAATGTGCCTTTTCAGCACCATGAAGATCAAGATCATCGCTCCCCCTGAGCGCAAATACTCAGTATGGATCGGAGGATCCATCCTCGCCTCCCTCTCCACCTTCCAACAGATGTGGATCTCCAAGCAAGAATACGACGAGTCCGGCCCATCCATCGTTCACCGCAAGTGCTTCTAAATTCCTCGGACACCAATTGTTCAACCATGCTCGTCGATTGTTCATTATATATTGTGCTCAATACGTTCGGGTTTGAATGAAAAATTTTGTCCGGACAGAAATTTTATTCTAATAAAGAAAAAACACTTGTCACTGTAATCCGCACGATTAATTTGACACATTCCTCATGTCGATGTAGCATGAAGGGAAAATGCAGGTGGTTGTTTGGTGGTGGTCTGCAGGTGGCCTGATCCACCACAGCTCTAGGCGGGACCATTACTGCTGAAAAGTTATGCTAGAAAGTTGACGAAATGCACCGTAAAACTAAACCCATCAGTCCGACACTGGGCTACAGAAGGGAGCAGTTCGGCGCTGTTTATCGACGGGGGGCATTCTGCTTTTCATAGATTTGCCAACCCATCTAGGTACCCTTTTTTCGAGTTGACACGTTTTAGGATGGTGGCTAGACGATCTTGCTCCAGCTTCACAAGCGTTCACAAGTTTTACCAGAGTGAGATTTGTAAACCGGAACCAGGGAAGCAATTATAATACAAAATGCCCCCCCCGTCGATAAACAGCGCCGAGCGGTTTCTTCTCCACGACATGCTTGGCCCCTTGTCGCACAGTCTACCAGGGAAAATAGAGCGAGCTAACTATAAGCTACGCTAGCTCCCACGTCTTCCACATATTCATCAGACCTAGCTCCACTTAACTCAGTTTTTATCAGTCAACCGCCACCTTGTTTCAAGTAGAGCTGATTCAAAAGACCAACACGATGTTGCAGCTGCATCCTCGAATTTCATCAGGAGTCGAGCGTTTCTTCCCAGTTGAGCCATCGCGCGCCCTAGCAGAGTATTTCCTAGCTAGCTGACTGGACAGACACAGACACATGGAAAGCTAGTCAGAACACGTCGTCGTTGAGGAAATCCAAAGCGGTCTGTATATCGGGCAAAGGCAGGAGGGTTGTATTCCGCAGGGCTTCATCAGCATTGGGAAAAGCAGTAAATACTGAGATGTCACGTACAATATAATTTGATATAGGAGTTATTCATGGATTCTTGGTGGAGGAATACTGATGAGTATCTGAAGCAACTGCGAAGTTGGCAAGCCGAGAAGTGGGGCAATGGCTGGTTCAATATATTAAAACCAATTAGCAACGTTAGTTTCCTTCAGTCCAGAAAGCCTTCTCGGGAGGTATTAGACAAAGTTTCTTGCAGATCTTTTGCAACACACTTCGTAAAATAGCTCGTCAGTAGTACTACAAGAAAAGGGCATTTGACCTCGCGCGCTAATCTCTAGTGGCGCAAATTAATTAAAGTTAAAGTACTTGTTCCGGAATTAATCTTTGCTTTTTTCGCCTTTTCCCTGGGGTGCGGCAGAGGGGGGTCTGAGCCATACACGCTTCTGGAGGAGAGCCGCATTCATCAAAAATTTACCACAACGCCATGGCGTGCCTTGGAGCTAGTCGACTTCAGGAGACGCAAACGTAGAAAGAGACGAGAGAATAGACGCGCCCTTCAGAATAGATTACGTCGTGCTGTGTACACTACGTACACTCCTTCTCCCTGGGGACGGAATAGGGGTGGCTTTTGAGCATAATATAGGACGAGTTAGTCGTGAGATACTTGAATTTCAGCTGCTATCTTGTTCTCTGTTAGATGTGACTCGAATGCTCCAAAATGAAAATATTTCAGGAAGACGTGTGCCGCCGCCATTTTGAAACTAAGTCGCAGCCACGCCTACCCGATCTCAGGAATTTCTAGTATACCTTATCCTGCTTGCAACGCCTGTTTCTCCGCGACTAGGAAGTGGTGCCCACACCCGATTTTATCGCCTCTAGGGCTCCACACTTCTTGTCAGCGTGATAAGCAAACTTGTTTCTCGTTGAAGGAAGTGTGCTGATAGGTTTGCCTGCGGGAAAGACGATCAGCTTCACACACATCATACTAGAAGAAGCTAGGCAAAAGCAAGTAATGCATCTGTAGAAATCAAATGAGATGAGCTCTGCTACTTACTCTACAGTATCACAGTTATGTTTACATTCGTAGGTATGTTGCTGTATCTATAAAAAAACCAGGACTACCTCTTCTCTGTCTTATTTGCAGATAAATCAATTCCTGTGCGACAAGAGTTGATTGATGAAAAAGCTCAAGCCCGAAAAGTTATCGAAAAAGATATATCGCATTGTAATTAAAAGCACGAAAGCCTACTGCGTGCTCAACAGAGGAGCAAATCCCTCCGTAGGCAGCGTTCAGACTTGTCCCGCTGCAAATGTCGCGCTGCAATTGTTAAAATCATTATCACTGTATCTTGTATCAAAGCATTATTCAATGATAAAACGAAAAAGAGGAGCTAAGAATCAGGTAGAAATGAGAAACAGTGAAAAAGGGATTGAATACCGGAAGAAAGAACATAAAGGGAAGCTGGGTCTGGTACAATTGGGGCGCGACAATTGCAGAGCGGCAGTTACAGCGCGACAAGTCTGAACGCTGCCCAAGTGATGGCTCCAAAATGCGCAGTGAGCACTGCAATCTTATCCTCAGGTCAGTGAAACCCATGCCAGCCCACATTGCCCGTATCGCCGAGGTAATGTTTTTGCGCGTTCTCACCCGTCGTTCTGTTTGAAATCCTTCAGATTTGAACCTACCATAAACCATGGAGGGGTGAAGTAATGGTGTCAGTACGGATCTCCTCATAAATTACCTACTAGTTCCCGAAGCCCTCAGCTTCCCATCAATTCTCCTCATTTTTTGATACTAATTTTCCTCAGAAGAAGGCTAGCGAGCAGGTGGCAATCTACAGAACTGGCGCACAAGAAACTGGGAAAACCAACACAAATCAACTGGAAAACCTCTCTTGTTGTCAAAAAAGATTTCTTTCAAGGCCAATACGACCCCTCTTAGGTTTTGCATAATGATGCTGTACCGTGCTAGAGCCTAGCGTCAAATTTTCTACCCATGCCTATCCCGACTTCGAGAAGCAAGGTTGTCGCTGTGTTAAGCATCCATCCGGTCAACACTTCGGAGCTTTCGGTGCAGACCCATCGAACTGCGGTGAAATGACATGAACTCGTCACTTATACGTAGTGCTGTATTCCAGCCAAATCGGCTGGCAATAACGCTTTTGGGTGTACATACGCGCAGAAAGTATAGTGCGTATTGGCGAGTTACACGAAGGCTTGAAAGTGTAGACCGAAAAGGCTCGCAGGGGCAAGCCAAAATAAAGTGACTGCCATGATTTGTGAGGCCAGCCAATGCATGTGGCAGTCAGTACCATTCATGCTGCCGAATCATTCTGGTACCGAATGTAGACCCCGAAGTCCAGAGGGTTTGATTGGCGTGAATTTAATTCGATCCCAGATCTTGCTGCTTGTGAGCTAAACTACTTGCCACTACGCTACCTCTGTCCAGATTTTTATGGTGTAAAGGCTTGTTGCGAGCTGTCGCGCACATGGTCAGGTGGTAGAACCGAGGATCCTATTTCGTACAGACCAATTAAGCCTTCCTCGTCTTCGGAGCTCGCACTTCGAGGTGCGTTCCGCGATGAGGAGCGTAGGTAGTGGCGTTAAAATATGCAAGAGAAAGTTGTCATAGGACTCATGCGGCTCGTCTCTGAATTGGAATTGCCCAAGGATCAATAGGGCTTCTTCAGCCTTAAACATAATTTGAACGAGGAAAGGTCTGAAGATGGCGCGTTGGGACGAATCCAGTTGGCTGAATCCTTATAGTAAACCCTGTGACCCCATAAGATTCAGTAGAGTATCGACTTCAAGCGGCTTGTCCGATACCATCTTTTTTGCCGGCAGGTGGCGTCTTGTGGCACTGGAAAAGGAGGTGCCACTGGAGCAGCATCGCGCCCTACTTCCTTTACCTAACAACGTTCCGCCACAAAATTGGCACAAGATTGTCCAAGATCACAATCCATATTTTAGAGGTGGAAAGGGCATGGCCGTTTCAGAACGCGGCGGTGGGAGCACTTCCTGTGAGATATTATAATTTTAGGACAACTGTAGCCACATTTTTGTCCCGTAAAAAAGAGGATGACACCCGTCATTTCCCATTTCTTGGGATATGGTGTATATATTACGTGTGGCACACAAGGCAGGACGAAGCCAGGCTAAATGGTTATCGTTGTGATAATCACAGCGGGGGGGGTCGTATTTGACTGCGAGGGAGGGAGGGGGGGTCGTATTTCGGGGAAATTTTTTGAGGGTTGATTTTCCTTGTTTCACGGATGCTATGGACGGAGCGCGTCGTATTTGGTCGCTGTTGGGAGAGGGGGGTCATATTTGCCTCTGAGGGGATCTTGCGGGGTTTGGAAAAATTTTTTCCCGATTGAATTCCGAAAAAAACGGGAAAAGGTGGTAGGAAATTGGGGAAATCTGGGAAAGTGGTGGGTCGGATGGGGAGGGGGGGGGTCGTGTTCTCGTGGAATTTATCACAACGCGATGGCGTGCTACAATGTGTCATGCAACTACTCTTTTATTTCTGAGCATGAATACTCATTAAGACGTCAATAACAATAAGTTGTGGCAAAATCTTCAATTACAACCCGAATGCTAAGAGCGTAAAACTATGAACATCCATGAG